GGGGGTTACAAGAAATAATGGCCACAAGCTAGCAGAGAGCAGATTTAGATTGGACATTAGGAAGAACTTCTTCACAGTTCGAGTGGCCAGGGTCTGGAACGGGCTCCCAAGGGAGGTGGTGCTCTCCCCTACCCTGGGGGTCTTCAAGAGGAGGTTAGATGAGTATCTAGCTTGGGTCATTTAGACCCTGCACTCTTTCCTGCCTATGCAGGGGGTCGGACTCAATGATCTATTGAGGTCCCTTCTGACCCTAACATCTATGAATCTATGAATCTATAAGTCTGGTTAGTGGAAAACATCTCGTATCAGCCCTTTTAAAAATCTGGATGATCTCAAATATCCCATTCTAATATTTCTACATACATTTTATGCCATCTAAAATGTTCTTCTATCACTCTGTAATTATGTTAAACTGTGATGGTCATAGTGAATGCCCCAGATGTCTGTTTTTATGCATCGTCCATTGTCTTGCCATCATTATCAGGCTCACACTGAATGAGCCTGGACAGAGAAAAGGAATCATTTAGTTTTCTTCTCCCTGCCTGCCTCCACCCTTCACCCTCTCCATTCAATCCAGAATTTTCCAGGTTTACAGCCTTCCTCTTAGAAATGAGTGTTTAAATTCCCACACTCAGCATGACCCCTGAAAAAGGAGGGAGCTGGGGTGGTGGTAAGGGAAAATAGGAAGGAATAAAGTAGTGATGGGATTGCTGTCTGGATATTTGGCCCACTACTGAATTGATTTAAAGAAATTACATCATACTCTGTCTAGTATGTCTTTTATTTGGTTTCCTAGATCAATTGCTGGAACAAAACTGACACCCCAGCAGTACAGCAAAAATATCTGTCAAAAAGTGTTGAGCTGCTGCAGAGTACCAAATTACATGCAGCATGTTATCACTCCTGTAGCACTGCTCTTTTAGGATCAGGATATTTGCCGAAACAGACCATCAAATCTTGTTTATTGTTTCTAGCAGTAACCAATCTCTGATGCGGCAGAGGAAGGCAAACATCCCCTCTCACCTCTTGCCCATAAAGAACCCGACAAATGCCTCCATGGCAACTGCCAGTGGTCAGTTTACCCACTGAAGCGTGAGATGTGATTACCCCATCTTAGCAGGTATAATTACAAATACTATTAATGGTCATAACATTATCCAGCCTGTTTAATCTTCTTACACTGAGCAAGAGAACTATCTAGGAGTGACTTACTAGATGTATTTTGATGCTTCCAGTGCTATTGGCATAGCAGCCCCATAAAATACATCTGTTAACTGAAGCCAATTTGGAGCCATTCTGAAGCACATGAGACAGGGATCTTGTTTAGTTCATGAGAGCTCTGAAGGCTCTTGGCACATCTTCCTAGTCAACTATCCCAAGTGGAATGTTTCCACAGAAATAAAACTAAAAGATGTAGAAAGGTTGTGATGATCAGCGTCCTCATCAGGAGAGGGGGACAGAAAATCTCACTGGACATCTCTACTTGCCAAAGAAAGTCATTTGCACTGCTAAACATGTAAAGGAAATTTCCTAAGCATCTGCCCAGGCCTATCCCTCTTAACTGAGAGTAAAAAAAACATGGTTCTCTACTGGAACACATTCAGCTGGCAAAGGGGTTGCAGTCCTTTCACTCCAGAACTTTGAGTATGAAACATTTCCCAAGTCAAAATGAACAGTATGACCTCAGAGGCAATAAGCTCATGTGCTGTCAAATAAGGGAGCGGAGCAAATTACAAAACCAAACCGCTTTGTAATAAATAACAGTTGTTGTTTTATTATGATAAATTATTTTAATGGAGTTGGGCTGAGTAGCCCCACCAATAGCTCAGGGCTCTATAGGTCTAAGCCCTCCACAAGCATTGAGTGTTTTCAATCTAATTGAGAGCATCCCTGTACTCTAGGCTCCCAGGGGTCCTCTGCTGTTTGCAGTTATTGGCACAGCATAGCACAGTGTCTGCAGTTGACTTATGCTTTAGTTTAACTTTTTAGTCCTACAGCACATGTAGCTTTCTCTATTTCTGAGCTTTGCAAGAGGAAAATCTTGTGCATTTTTAATTGAACCTAATTTTCTTATTTTGCTACATATTTTACAAGGAGTGCTGTACCCTCACATGGTCCAAACTCAGGAAGGCAAAAGCATTTCCTTTGCCAACTTTGCAAGCTTTCAGGAGAGTGCCTTGAGCAGTGATTTTGACTGTGAGAGTGGCTACTCCCTTGTTCCCATTTGTCCAGCCACTTCTTGCTACTTTTACCTGCTCTGGCTACTGCTAGTTGTTATAGATCTTTTCTCTCTGAGGAAGAGGGGACTCCAAACCCTTGTGTGTATAGATCCTTTCCACTTCTTAATCTAACTTCCTCATCTTTAAATATATTTTCCTTGGTTCAGGTAAACTTGACGCCTTAACTCAGCAGTCAGAAATAAATGGCTGAGCCCATTATGTCCATGCATGCCCTTATTGATGTCACAGCAATTTGGTGTAAGCATCACACTGCTTGTGAAGATATGATGTAGGATCAGGACCTTTCTTCACAGACGTATCCAGACTTTGATGACCATATTATCACCCTCTATGGGAAATTCCTCTCTTTGAATGGATTGATTTATGTAATTGTATAATCAGTTTTTTTCTGTTTGATTTTTTTTCCTGTTGGTGTTATGACATATGGGGATGACAAAGAGTTCATTGCATGACGTTTGACAAGAAAATGACATTCTATATATTGGGAGTGGTAAAAGACTTGCCTCTCAGCCGTATTTCTTTGTTCCTAAGAGAGTTTAGAAAAAAGATAGCTTTAGGAAGGGACGGTTGTTTCTATTTTCATATTGTATTAACCTATTCATTTCTTTCAGAAACCTTAAACCCTGTGTTGGCTTCCAAATACACTATTTCTTTAAACATTTCTTTATCTACAGTTACCTCATTAACAAACAAATATATTTATCGATTAACAAATTTATTTACAGGGAGAGGCTGCAAAGAGAAATAGCATCCAGATCCCAAATGCCTCAGAGATGATGATTCTGGGTGTGAGTGGAGTACCCTATGCTTTTATTTTTTTTTGCCATTATTATGCTTGTTCTCTTATGTGTCCTGTATTTGCTAAAACCTTTTTGGAAAAATCTGAAACCAAGGCAGTCTTTCTAGAATAGAAATGAATGGAATTTCATACTGAAAATCAGAATGTTCTGAATAAAGTTACTGAGGGCCAAAATTTGCTGTCCTTTCTCACAGTGTGTTGTACCTTATTTCTGAGATATATTGACTTTTTTATTCAAGTAGACTTGAGGTAAAAGGTACTATTCAGCAATAGTAAGCATGACAAAATAGGTCCATACATAGAGTTTTATGTGGAACTGGGAAATCCACAGACAAGGATATTGTACAACTAAAAGGCAATTTCTTTCTAGGCACAGGTAAGGTCCAAAAGGCCAATAAAAGGGTTTTCCTGGGTTCAAGTCCTATTCATCAGAAGCCAAAGACAATAAATGTAACAGAGAGGTAAAATAACCCCAAGCAAATTGGCTCTTCATTATGTTAACCTGCCAGCTATGTGAACTAGTAACGGTTCTCAGGCCTCTAATTTCAAAACGGCTTTCTATTATTATTATTATTATTATTATTATTATTATTATTATTATTAATTTATTTATTCATTGCAAGACTGAACTCAGCTTCTTTTTACATGCTAGAGAACAGAAGCTTTGAACAACTTTTTAGCCCCATTTATTACTGAACTGGCTTTCTAGGAACTGCTGAGAGTGCCATGTAAGGAAGAAAAGTTACAGATATGGCTGACACTAAATCAGAATACAAACCCTTAAAGTCAAAGGGAGCTAAAATTTCAAAAGTGCATGTCAAGATTTTTCTATGTTATATTCCATGAACTGTATTTAAATCCACGCCACCTACTATACAATGTCTTGTCGCTGAAGCACAGAATATATCTGTTCTATCCTTGTATATAATGCTGCCTGAGTTCATTTTTTGAAGCAGCTTTTACGATCTATTTCTGTTAGTCTGTCCTGGCATTTTATGCAAATATAAGAATATAAGTAAACAAACAAGAGCCAGGATATGATCTTATGCTGCTCTTGCCAAAGACAATTCATTAAACTTAGACATCAGTGGATCATTAGTATTGTTATTTTAACTGCAACACAAGTTAATGAAAGGTAAATGATGGTGAAATGGAGTCACGCTATCATGAGGGCATATTTAAAGTCTTTCAAATCTGTATGGAATCTGCTTTTATCAAAAATGCACTGAAACATTTGGGTTAAAGAGAAATATTAGACATGCATTTCCTCTTGGCTCTTTAAAAGTCCCAGCCTAAATTAAAGTGCATCAATGAAAGCTGATACTGGAAAAAATACAGTGACCTGAACTATAGTCAATGGGCATACTGGCCAGGGTTCTTAAAACATTTCAGTGTTTATGTTAAGGGCCTAAATAAACTGATTTTCATAAGTGCTAAGAACTCCAAAGCTCCCAGTAGTTTCATTAAGAGCTGCTGGGTGTTCAGCACTTACAAAGATCTGGTTGTTTGTGATCTTAGACTCGTTCACCTCCTGCTGAAAATCTTGGTCACCATTTTAAACTATAACTGACTTGCCATAACTGGTTCACCCCTCCTTATCCAACCAAGCTTCTCTGACATTCTTCAAAGCATGATTCTAATAAAGCCAGTCTTCCCTTTCTGGCTGCTCTACTTGGACTGGATCCTCTGGGGCTAAAGAAGGAAGTACCACAATCTCATAAATAGTTGCTGATAGAGACCAGTGGATTTGGTGTGTGATGATTTAATGGAAAGTCATTCCATAGTTCTTGCCACCTTTGGCAAGCTTTCTTTTTCATTGGCTTGGGCATTTAGGAAAGATGAAGCTACAAAACAAGAAGTGGTAGTCCCTCTCATACCCTGTCCATTTCCACCGTGATCTAATCTCCTCCAGTTCCAGGATTGGAGGGGATGACAGGGCCCAAAAAGGTTTCTTCAATGACCCTGAATATGTGTAAGGTACAGTATGAATAATAATAATAATAATAAAACCAACTTTTCCACATAGCTCCTATAGATTGTAAGCAATGCAAATGAACAACAGCTTTTGCTCACTAATTGGTGGTTTGATGTTTTAAACAATGTCCAAAAAAAGCAACTATATTGTCAAGCCTCCCACGTAAGCAGGTGAAACCTGCCTTAAGTATTGTTCAAGACAAGACCGGTCCAACCTTGGAATGTTATTTGTGCTGCTATTATTGTTCTCTTCTGTCTGTACTTTGTGTCACAAGCTGTAATTTCATGGTGACTTTGGTTTCTTCTGAGAATTATAATTAAGAGTGTGGCACATGGGGGTGGGGAGGGGATTCCTTTTTTTCTGTCTGTAAATAACAGAACTTTCTCTCTCTTTCTTCCCCTGTTTTTCAAATTATATTTGCTGCAGGTGCATAGGTCCACGTATTGAGGACTGCATCGGCCTGATGGATAGGTACTTGCTAAGTGATCACTCCCCTTGTTCTCCTTCCATATTCCATGTGTGGGCAAGGGTGCATGTGTGTGCATGTTCCTGTGAATGGTGAATGATATTTTCTGTTCTGTAATTGCCTGCAGGTGTAGAGGTCCCGCTAGTCATGACTGCATTTACTATCCATGGACACGCCAGTCCACTTTACCACAATATGCTAGGTAACATCCACCATCTTTCCATTATCTACCTAAGATTCTTCCCCATTTGCCATAGGAGTGGTGTACTAACCAGTTTGGTCAAATATATAAATTGGAGGGTGTATAAGGCATCCTCAGTAGCCAGGTAAACAAACAGCTTGCTTCTTAATTTGAAAGTCATCTGGCTATGCCATTAAGAGGCCCATTTTTGCTGAGGTTGAAGTTAACTAAATGGTGATTTTTAAATTTTTCACAGAAAAAAACCCAAACTAAATCTGAATGAAAAATTCCATTCAATTTTGAACTGAAGATTTTCACTGTGGTGTTGTTTATGAAGGAAAAAAATGAAACAAAATGAAAAAGTTACTCTTTAATGTTTTTGTCAATAAAGAAAAAGCTTCAGCAGAACTGCCTCCAAGGAATATCTCCGTTTATACAAAACTGCATTTGTCCTCCTAAACAACCCCTCAAAATATCTGAACTATTTCTGCCACTAGATTTTTAAGCTAGTATTAGAAAGTGTCACCTGAAAATGAAGAATCCAAACTATGCTTGACTCGATTTTGGTGCATAGAATTGCATGCTTCATAGCCAAGTCAATTTTATGTAGGAAGAATTTACAAATGTTTAAAATGAAATTGTTTCTTTATGTTTACTTACGTTATATCCAATTCATATTCTTTGATTTTTTTCTTTTTATATTCAAACTGGTTAGTAGGGCCTCCAGGTACTTGGGTTATTGCCATGGGCTAAAAGTTTATGGGGATTTTATCCTTTCAACGAACATCACCTCATAAAGCATTTTAGCTGGTTTTCCTTCATCTCAGAAAATGCATATAAAAAAGCTCAGATAAGCCTAAATTAAAAAAAAAAAAAAAAAGGTTTCAATGCCTCAGGGTTGTTTATTCAACAAAAATCCTTATTACTTAGCTGTTGAGTGATACAGTGGTTAGACATGAGAGAGTATTCTAAGTACATAAGCAGAATATATTTCTTAAATAGTTTAGATAGGATCAGTTATGCCTAGGTTCAAAATTCAGCAGCGATAATGGGAAGATTTTTTTTTTCTTCAAGATTGATTTTGAATGCTTCAATTTTGGATGCTCATCCCGAGACAAATAGGGACTAATTTTCAGATATTCCACATGCTCAAATTTTAAAATGTAAACCACTCAGAGATCTCTCAGACTGGGCTCCCTAAAAACCAGATGTCCAAAGTCAGCAGTCATTTTTTAAAATATTGGCTTCACTGACTTCGGTAGGTTTTGATTCTAGTCTTTAGGCCACAAATGAGTAAAATGTATTAGTTTTAAAGGTTTTAGCAGGACTACAAACTTAAAGGTAAGAACATGCTTAAGTGCTTTGTTGAATGTTAAATGTAAGAATAGTATGAGTAACACTTTAGGAAGAATATTACATTCTTTGTACTAGCAGTAACAGGAAGACAGCTATTATATAATTACATTGCACTCATAGTTTTAATGTTTTCTGTGATTTCTGGTCTTCTTACTGGGGGTTTTTGCATGCTTGGTGATGTTAGTATGATAGGGAAATAATGTATCTTACTCCATACAGTATTTAATTTAGGTTGAGCAGTTTTTTCAGGCAACTTTGAATTCAGAATGTGGCATTTTTGTCCTGATAATAATTTAAGTATCAAAGGACACAATCCAGTATCCATTGATGTCAATAGAAAGACTCCCCGCTAATCTTACCAGCTGTTAGACCAGACTCTACACTTTAGTGGCAAATGAGTAATTAGATATGTAACTCCAGAATGTGGAGGCATTTGCTAGAAAGCTATCGGGCTTCACGATCTTAATCACGCAGTCCATTAGCAGGTTCTTTTTATTTTGTATGTGGATCAGCGCTTCTATCTCTGAGTCTGTGATCTAGCGTCAAGTCAGTTAAAGCAAACTACTGAGGGAGGTGAAAAATAAAGTAGATGATTTAATCCACTTAAATGAGGCATATCCTACACCATTCAGTATTGGTAGTGAACGGCTGCTCAATTATAGAACCTGGGAAACCACTTCAAAGAAAGGATAGTTCCCTTAGATCTGACAGAAATTTCTAGTTTTAGCTTTGGAGAATATGTGAAAACTATTGCAGTGTAAACTTGATTAAATATTAGTACATGTGTATTTTGTTACTTTCAAAGCAATGAAAGAACTGCTAGGGCCATTTGACAATTTAGGCTTATTACATTATGCAAGTTTCTGTTTTTATTGACAAAAAGTTGCTTTTGTTAAAGGTAAAAATAAGCAAAACTGCATTGGCAAAATGCTACTTTTTCTGATTAATGGGTTGAGACCCAAAATGTTTCTATTTCTTTCACTTTAAGTAGGTGCCCTTTTCATATATCTCTAGCTATCTTCCATGTACCAGATGTCTGAATATTTATTCAGGTTATTAATGGCTTATTTGTGCCTTCACATTAACATTAATAAGCACTGATTGAGGAGCAAAGTATTCCATTGTTTCAATAAGCAAGAGGTGATGACAGAGTTCTAAATGCAAACAAATGAAGCATTTTCATTTTCTTCACCTGTTTTTTTCTCTTCATATCAGTGTTGTTTTTCTTTTCAGTTTTGCAGATTGTTTTTGCCATGATCCATTGGCCTTAAGGCTTTTGCACGAGCCTGGTAGGGTAGCAGAGGAATTTTTACTGTCATGTTTAATAAAGATAAATCAGACATACTACACTGCTTGTTTTCAAAATGACCGGTGAAATTTCAAACACATCTTTTTTTTTTTTTTTTGCTTGTATTTAATCCCTCTATATGCTGAGAGAAGCATTTTCATGCCACATATTATATTCCCTTTGTATGGGGACTTTTAGTTTCAACATCTCTGAATTCAACTGCATACAAGGGAATGTAGGAAACATTGATGTCCTTTATAAAATCAGAAGCATTTTACCCCTTTCCTATAGACCAGTTGATATGTCTACAAACACCTGTTAGGTTGCTTGTCATATATATATAAATACACTTACCCTTTGTTCCTTTGGGACCCAAATGCATTTTCAGTACGTTAAATTAATCCTTAAAAGGATTTCACCATATTGTTAACTACCAGAAAAAGTTCAAACCATAAAGGGAGTAAATGTCTCCTTAACCTAACCAGTAAAAGCTTTCAGAACTCATGGGAGAAATGAGTGCTACTTTTATTTGTGGGTAGTTGCCAATTTCAGCTACTGCAATTATAGCAGCTATATTACTGTTGTTATAGAAATGCTATAAAAAAAACATAGGCATCAGAGTTACATAAAAAACATAAGTGCCATATCAGGTCAGACCAGTGGTTTCATCTAGCCTGGTATCCTGTCTCCAGCAGTGCCAGGAGTGGATGCTATAGAAGGAAAGCATTGAGACATACAGTAAAATCTCTGTTATCTGGCATCCCCAGGGTAAGGCGAGTTGCCAGTTATGTAAAAATTCTGGTTATCTGAAACCCCTCAGCAGGGGTTTTCAGATAGTGCGGAGCAGGGAAGGTGGCAGCTCCACCCCTTGACAGGACCCCCGTCCCCTGATCAACATCTGGGGACCTGAGCCCTAACCCCTGACCTTTGCCATCAGAAGTCCCTCCCCTTGCCTCCTGGAAGTACTCCATTTGGGAGGGGATGTATGTCATCTTGGAACCAGAAAAAAAAACAAATCATATGCTAAAAGTCAAACGCCTACTGTAGCATATTTTTTACAAAAATATTTTTGTCATGATTTGTGTTTGTGTGTTGTATATAGCGCTTGTTGCATAATAACTCAAAAATAAAGTCTTACTGTTGCATATTGTGTGGGGGGTATGGGAGGTGGTTGGGGGGTTTGTGAGAGGTTGTGGCTATGTGGGGGGGCAATAGAGTATGTTGGAGTTTGTGTATATCTGGGGGGTTGTGGCGGCAGGCTGAGGACCTCCCACACACTCCCCCCATGTTACACAACCCCTGCCACTGGCAGCAGCAGCATTCAGGGTGCTCGTGGCCCATGCAGGCACTGCCACCCAGTGGCACGTGGCTCTGGCCAGTATTGCACAGGGTGGCAAGGAGCACATCCGGGCCGGTCCACCTCTATTGTGCAGGGCTCCACACAGTGCACATGCAGCTCCCAGCATTTGTGCACTTGCACAGTACAGCTGGTTGCCTTCTCTACTCCCTGCCGTGCAGGTCCTGGGACTGCCAGGAAGCAAGGCGTAGGGCTCCCCTCCACTTCCATCAGAGTCCCAGGACCTGCACAGCAGGGAACAGCAAAGGCAGCCAGCTCCATTATGCAGTTTCCTTTGGTGGTACATGAGTGCTGGGAGCTACACATGTGCTGTAGGGAGTTCCACACAATAGAGGCAGGCCAGCCTGGCTGCACTCCTTGCCACCATGGCCAGAGCCACACACTGGCAGGCGGCAGCACCTTCCCAGGCCATGAGCACCCCAAGCGCCCACTGCCTGCTGCTGCTGCTGCCACCGGCACAGGCTGTGTGCCATGGGGGTGGGGAGTGTGTGGGGGATTCCAACACCCCCCCCCCCATACCCTACCCACCTGAGCTCCATGCTCCTGCTATCCCCCTGGGCATGAGCTCCATGCTGCTGCCAGCCCCAGCCCCATGCTCTCCATTCCTGCCCAGATGCAGCTCCCCCCACTGCTTCCCTACCTGGTGCCCAAAGTGAGGGGGTGCCAGGGACGCTGACCAGGTCTCCAACAGCAAATGTAGCAGTGGGAGCAGCAGCCCTACCTGGCTTAAGCCAGGCCCTTCCACCCACAGAGGTGGGAGCGAAGCGCATGGCCTGGGCAAGGTACAGTTAGCTGGTATGCACCCACAGGCCGAATGAAATTGCCTCATTGGCCAGATTCAGCCTGCAGGCCAGATTTTGCCTGACTCCTGACCTATCACAATGATATCTGATTCATAAATTGTAATTCATGTGTTGCACTGACTCAGTTGTATATCTTAGAGTAGATCCTCAGACTGGTTCATCTGAGTTGTTTGGGAGTTACCAAACATGATGTCTGTTCACACCCTGATGACACAAA